GATCTTTAAACATTATAATTTCCCAGGGAGGGGGGGGGGGGGGCATTATTAGTGAGATTACGCAGGTGACGAGTGACACGCAGCACTAGTCATGCAACATAATGCTGATTTAAGCGCTGTGCTTAGAACACATCACATGGAGCACAAATCCGTAACCCCAAGCCACACTGCAACGTTCAGCAAAATGTCTTTCAGAGCGCAACTGGAGCACATGCACTTGTGCTGCACGTCAAGCGCTGTGCCAGCAAATTGAGCTCTGTGTCTCATCGATCATATCGTTGCCCCACCCAGGCCACATGAAGGATGCTATGAGAACCCTGCCGGCGCCAGAACTGCTAGCATGATGAGTATGCACGGACGCTGCTGTGTAAGAGGACGGGCGCCAAACATGTAATGTAGAAGCTTCACAAATGACGTCGGTGTTCCCTTCCAACACCCGTATGATCACTGGAGAGTATATTACCAAATTCTTTTCAAACAACCCTACATCACGCATATCCCGCATCCTTCAGGCAGAATGGGCGATTGGTCTTTGCATCTCTGACATCTGGAGGCTTCTGCTCCAACTTACCTTCCAGGAGCTGTGCCCCCAAAATTCCACATACTCAAAAATTACTTGTTACGTGCCCGGGACGTGTGTAATAGTTGTTATGCTACCAGCTGCGGGTAAGTATATGAGACATAATCTAAACTCCTAGTATCCCCCTTAGTACCCCCTACAGAGCCCCTATATAATCCCGTATAGAACCCTCTTTAAGGAGTTTAGACTCTAGCTCATATGATTTGGGCATGTTAAGAATGGGGATATCTAGGGCTACTATATGGGTTATAGGGGCTACTAGTGCCAGTATGTTACGAGTGACACCGCAAAACGCGAAAAAGAAGCACATACTGAAGGATGCACCAAGACCTAATTGGCAGAAAAGCCCTTTACAAGCACGCTCCTGGACCCTAGTATCTATCACAGCATCTAAGCACACAGTGCTTCCTCAGCTCCCTTTGCCCCCCACTGGAGCATAGCAAAGAACATAGCCAACGCACAGAGCCACAGCCAATACCAGCATGGCACCAACCGCCATCATCCGGTTTTGGTTCTGTTGCACCACAGCTCCGGTGTTTCCACGAGCGGCAAGCGGGATGACCTGCGAGAGCAAGGCAAATGTCTGCTCGTTCACTTCCATGCTTGCAAGACCGCCCTTCTTGTAGTTCGTCACTGCAAAGACTTCGTTGGTGTTGGCTGCCTTCCTCATGCTGTTCAAGACCGCTTCCAACTCCTCGTGCGGCTTCTTGTTGAACTCGCAACAACGGAGGAACTCATCACGATGGGTGGCAGCGATGACAAACGGGAAGGCCACTCGCCCATCCGACGCAGTCTTCAATTTCCTGGACATGGCACCTAAATACAGAGCCATTTCTTCCTGCTGATCGCGCCAATGGAGAAGCGATACGACCAGAATTGCAGCATGCGGGGGCTTGGAATAACAGCACTTGCTCTTATTGAAGTCCTTGCGCCGCACGCCCTCAGGTATCTTTCCGGCCAGCAGGGCCCCAAAGGCCTCCTCCATGTGCTCGCTCATGTTGGGAATGGCGGGCGTGTCGATGAGACACAGCCCGGCCAACACTGGCACCATCTTGATATCCTGTGTGTTCTCTGCCGCACCAGCTGGAGCTGTCTCCAACTGATTCTGGACCTTTAGGTCTTGCCGACAGCATCGATAAACATGGTTAATAAAGCTCGACCAAGCGAAAGTTGCACTTGCGAGCCTTAAGCAGCTTCTCCACATGACCTCGTAAATCATCAGAACAGCGAGATGCTGACAACTCACCATCCATTGTGATCTGTGCCCTCACGACATCGCTGCGTTTTGCTGGGTCATCTGCTCTTGCTGCCTCCAGAGACACTCTTGCAGTGAAGGCTTCACTTCTTTTTGGGTCATCGCGGGCCCGAAACTGGAAGGCAAGCCCTGAGCATTTGATGGATTTAGTCTCTTCTGGTTCGATCATGGGCGTAGTAGGATCAAAGTACTCCACCTTCACGTGGAAGATGCAAGCATCAGGCTCAGGGTGCTTCCACGATAGAACCAGGCTGCGATCTGTGTGCACCTTGACCGTCAACTCAGACGGTGAGTGCGACATGATATGGCAGCTTCTACAGCCCTACCGAAATTGCAATGGTGGCATGTGAAGCTGGCGCGCAAGCTTAGAGCCAGCAACCAGTGTGGTGCAGAAACCATACAAAAACCATGTATACGCCCCCTAAATGCCTTCATCAAACTTTATAATCACCTCCCCTACTGCTAACAACATCCGCACAATCCCAATATAGTACTGTTAGGATTGGGAAGGCTTATTTCGCATTTTTGGGGGTGGGGGGGTTTACCCAAAGGATCTTAAGCACCTAAATAGGGATACTAACTCAAACCACAGACTCCAACCACAGTACTAATTACTAGTTCATGATATAGAAACGCTACTTGACCCTGGTTTGTACCATATCGATACTTGGGATGCTTCAGGTTATTATGGCGGGAGCTGATTTTCTCCTGAGTCGCCGTACAGACCACTCTCTCTCAAGACAAGGAGTGCTAGAGTCTAATTTTTAGCGTTGAAGATTCACGGTTTGCGTTGTTGGGTGTAGGGTGGGTGTTGCTAAGGCAAAGTCCAACCTGTCCTCTCGGCGCAGTACGACACAAAGAGCAAAGCAAAAACTTACCATGTGAATGCGGTATAGAGCATGTACAAAATATGTTAGGACACTCTGAATAAGAGCTCTAGTGATCCGTTCCTCCATTCCCATTTTAGCTCTCAGCCCCTTCAATAGAAAAACTGCTAAGCGAAAGTCCGAACCGTCCCCTCCGTGCAGTACACCACAGAAAGCAACGCAACAACTTACCAGTGACCAGCGCCGGAATGAAGATATGGTTTATAGCATCCGTAGTGATGATTCTTCTGGGGCACTCTAAAACCACTATGTACTAGATGGATCCATTCCTCGATTCCAATCTTAGCCTAAAGCCCCGAACGCAAAAATATGCGCGCTTCCAGGTCTTGAATTTTCAATGCTTCTAGACATTCCCCACAAACCCGAGTTGCCAAGCTTTTTCCTGCTTGCAAGCTGGCGAAACCAACAGCTGTACCGGCAAACAAGAGATTACTATGGGATCCCAGGGGACCTCCCTAAACATGGCCCAATAGGGCTCAACAGGGAATAGGGTTTGGTGTTTGGGTTTTTGGGTGGTATTTGGCTTTTTCACTTGGGAATGTCCTTTTTGGGCGGTCCCTTGGGTCTGATGACATTATGGACTCGCCAAATTAGCCTTCCACGTGATGTGTTTGTCCTGAGGTCACTAGCCATTGTTCTAGGCATTTGCGAGTCTAGTTTTAAATCTTTTTGCATCTGCGACGGCTGTACTGGCAGACGCTCTTTCTTGCTGGTTCTTCGTAAGGAATGCAGGAACGGTAAAGCACATGGAAATTCCGGTGCCAGTGGAGTATGTAGGGGCTACAATGAAAATTCGTTCTCGACTCCCTACAACCAACTCGCCACTGTGGAACAGGTGCCTGTGCTCGCAACGCCCCACAAGCTTGGGCTACGTAAGCTTCATTCGGCAGGGTTCCATAAATTGGGGTCCCAATATACGATGGTCCTCATTTTAAGGGCTCCAGACAGGGTCCTCTAATTTTTCCAAAGCGCCATTTAAATTCACGAGACAGTAATTGACATCCAGAGCAGCAAGGCACCGAACAATATCACGCAGCATGCCGTACTACAGCAGCTGTGCAAATACGTTATCCCTACAATCATCCCAGCATGGGAAGTTCGGGCGGTAAGGACCGTTGGATGAGCTGCACGATTTCGTGACGCAAAGATGATTCTTTGGAACGAGTTTGATTGGTCCTGGCGCAATGGCAATCCTTTTGGTTGTTGAAGGCGTGAGCCTTCATCTGCTCAAGCTCCGATTGCGCTTGGTCACGCTCCTTGCGCGCTTGCGGGAGCTCGCTTTTCCTGCATTGGTGCTCCGCCTTGACTTGCTCACAATTCATGGACGCTAGCTTTGCAGCCTGTTCCAACTGCTGAATTTCTAGCCTCGTCTGTTCATGGTCCGCCTTCGTTTGGTCACGCTCCTGTGCGAGTTTTCGGTTGTCCGCCTTCAATTTGTCTCGCTCAATTGAAACTTTCAAGAGCTCGTTGGCCAGCTTCACTTGGTCAGGATCCATGGCAAGTTGCTGAAGAATGTTAGCCAAGCACTGGTAACTCCACAGCAGAACCATCAGAATGCAGAAGGTGCCAAGGACCACATACCTGGCTCCACACTGGGGAATGAAGGAATCCATAACTTTGTAGACATCATCATGTACATGAAGCCTTTCATGCTGAAAATTCGACACCCCCCAAACATTAGATATGGCCCCGCGATGCAAAAGGACTCTTACGCGAAATAGTTCATGTTAAAGCGCTTGGGGTTTTACCAGTAACTCACATGAAAAGGCTGCTACGGTGGATACTAAAAATCCTGCATGACCTTACTCTACTAGAGTACCATAGTTCCCAAGGTTTAGGGTAATGAGGGTCATGCAGGATTTTTGGTATCCACTAGAGTATTCAAGTTTGACCCAGGCGCTGCTTTCTGTTGCTTTGTCCACCGCTCGTCTTGGTGGCCACTAGGCCTAAGTCGCCTTCTTTCACCAGGCTGACAGATCCTTAGCTGCATATAAGATCCCTCCTACAAGTAAAACGTGTTGCCTCCTTAGACTTTATAAACCCTGTACGCAACTACCTACTGGCACGTCCAAAAAATCTAAATTGAAACAGCCAGCCTAAACTCAAGCAAGGATCCTTCTTTCGAAAATGTATCATGCGGGTTGAAGCCATGCCAAACCCGCACACTTCCGACACCTGTAGGGCCACAAGCATCTAGGAGAGGATCCTGCGATAAGTAGCCTTTGGCGGGTCCAAATTCATAAATAGTAGGGCCTTATATGCACCAAAACCATTCAACTTGGAATATTTATGACCTGAAAACTTCTTAAATGGGAATGTAGACATTTAAGGCAAGTTTAGACGTTGATTTTTAGCATCAGGCGTGTGAACTTGTGAGCTTCAACCCCGACAGCCCGGAAACCATGAGCCCCTAACCCCTTGAACCCTGAAACGCGCTTTAGGGGCTTACATAAGGGTTTATTGGGATTTGTGTTGTCTGGGAAAGTCTGAGCAATCATCAATATCATGTTTAACGTCTACTCAAGGTACCCTTTACTTTCGTTCTATAAGGCACCCAGGGCCAATACTGGTCCCTGTATTAGTCGCTTTGTACCTGCAGGCCAAAATGAGCGGAAGGCTGTTTGCAATGGATGCGCGGCTTGAAGTGGTCCTGAAGTTGGCCAACTCGCTCCTTGGCAAACTAAGAACTGGGGGGTGTAGGAGTAGTGAGCCACTGTTTTCAATGTGTATTCCCCCATTTAAGGGACATCCCCAGGCAATTTGGTTGGGCTGGTAGTCTTGCAGTACTAGTAGTACTAAGACTATACTAGTACAACTACTAAGGGACCGCTACGTGTTTTCCTCACTCCACGCACCTTTCATTTTTTTTCAAACCGATTTGGGACTTTTCGGGAAGGGGGCGGCAAGACACCATCTACTTCCACTGACAGCTTTCATCTGAACTCATTTTTCATTATCCCATTCATCCAGTAGCCCAAGGCTAGTTCCAAGAGTCCAAGGGTGCGAGGAGCTATGAGCAAATGTTTCCTTCTCCTGAGGGCCCAGGGTTACTTCCAAGAGTCCAAAAATGTGACGGGTTCTGACCTTTTGTATTCTCCTGAGGATTCGGGGATTAAGTTTTGACCACTTGATGCCCCTACTGTTCCTGAGGATTTTGTTTATGTAAGGTTTCCACAGTTGATGCCCCTACTATTCTCCAGGATTTTGGGCTTAAGCCTCACCAGTTGGTGCCCCTACTTTTGGTCTTGCACATGTTCAACAGTTGATGCCCCAACTTTGTGCGAGGGTTTTGGGTTTAAGCCTTCGCCAGTTGAGGCACCTACTTTTCTTGAGGAATTCGGGCTGAAGTCTGCAGATGCTGCTGGTTCCCCAACTCCATATGGGTAGTTGTCAAAATTATGGTCCTTTTTTGGGTACCCTAAATATTAGGTGCCGTATTATAGTAGGGATCCAAAAAGGGCCCATAATTTTGACAACCACCCATCATGAGCATTGCTCCAACCGAAAGGCAAGGCTAGGGTCAGAGAAGGCCTAACTCCTGTTTATCCACGCGCAAAAAGACTCCCATGCTGGCCCCACATCAGTCGCCTAACCCTAAACCAGCTCGCCGGCGCAGTTTGGAGCTTAGCCGCGGGCTATTTCGGCGTGTGCTAACTCACGCGGTTCAAACCTCTAAGCTTTCAGCATGTCACCCTGAAGGGTTGTGGCACCTCAAGATGAAGGCTGAGGAAGACTGGGTTGCTGTTAAGGAACTTAAATTAAGTTACTATATTGGGGAAACCCTATTCTTTACTATATATACCCATTATGGCAAATTAAGCCTTAAACCCTGAACCTTACATAACCCCATTATAGTAGTTTCCATTTTCTTTTCCATTATCCCTCTATATATATATACCCATTATGGTAACTTAATTTAAGTTCCTTAGCAGCAACCCAGAAGAGAGCATGTCTCAGAGCTCAAGTTCCTTGTGCTCTGAGGCAAAGGAAAATCTTAGGCAGTTGAGCTGGCCGAAGGGTTGTCACTAAACATGAGCGCAGGCCATTTTAAGATAATTCTTGTAACAATCCTAAAGCACCTCAAATTTCTCGGCATTTAAGCCAGTACCAAATGTCCAGGAAAGACTTTGCCAATTTTCAGTGGACTAGGCCCCACTAAATGGTTGAGGGCTAGGCAAAATGAGTAATTGGTATCAACTGGAGCTCTGTGATTCGAAGCTCTTGGGTTTACAGATTCAAGCCTCAAAGTTTCAAAGCAAAGAGATTTCTATGGAATTGCCTTGACGTTAAGAGGGTAACACAACATTTCCATTAAAGAGGCCTTTCCAGTATGGAACCTTAAACCCTAAGCCTTACCCAGGGGGTCCATATATACACCTATAAGGGAATTAGGCCCCAAAATACCATACTATAGAAGGAATTATGGGTCTCAATTCCCTAATGCTTGTATATGTGGACCCTCAGGGTTAAACCCTAAACCCTAAACCCTAAACCTGGAAACTCGCTGCGAATCGGGCCGTGGCTCGAGCTGTGGCGCACGTAGGGCAGATGACAAAATTCCTTATTTCCAGGGTTTAAGGGTTAAGGTTTAGGGTTTAGGGTTTAGGGGCTCAGGGCTTAAGGTTTAGGGTGTAGGACTTTAGGGTTAGGGGTTTAAGGCTTACTGGTGGGGTTCGTAGGGTTTAGGATTTAAGCTTCCGTGTCGTGCGTTTCTCTCCCGGAAGGGTCCATGTAGGGGTGTATCACATATAATGTGTACCTGGGGCTTCCATAACCTAGATAAATCCAGGTTCTGGGACATAACCGGGTTATTTTATGAAAAGGCGGGTTTTGGTTGTAACCCATTTCTGAGGGTGTCCAAATGACGATATGACGATACGGGGCCTGGATACAACCCACAAATTAATTACGGGTGTGTATGGGTTCCCGACGGGTTATTTATGGCTTTCCGACGGGTTATCAAAAACAAGGTTTTCGGAACCCATCTGGGGATTTATGGGTTTTGTGTTGTTTATTGGTTTCTTATGGGTTATTTATGGGTTCTTCGGGAATTTACCTGTCAACCTACTTGTTTCCGAACGCTGGGTGGCTAATGCACCTAAAAGAAGAAGGCTCCCGAACATCATTCCCGAGAAAACCGGGCTTTTTGGTGAGTAACCGGGTTCTGAGCATGTAGTCGTTCCAAAGACTGGGTTTTGTACAAGTAACCTTTTTTTTAGGGTTTTGGAAGCCCTAGGTATATATATATATATACATAAGAGAGGGTTTAGGATGAAGGGTAGGAGAAAACATCTGCATCCTCAAAGCTCTGGGCTTAGGTTTTCAGGGGATTTGGAAATCGGGATCTGAAGATTTATTGGGCTAATCAGTCTGCCCTCAACCCCCTACACCACAAAACCTGACCGCTAGACTATCCGCCCCAAACACTAGATTCGTGCCATCGATCCGGAAGCAGGCGAAACGAGTGTGGAAACACTGGGTTGTCTCGAAATTATTGAGGATTACAGAGAGGTTCCCCTCAAGGATTCCTTGTGTATAGGGCTCAGTTCTGGGGACTTGACTACTAGCTAGGGCCCAACTTGTACCCTTAAATGGAGGTATATGGTCCCTAAAAGTGGGCATTATAAATCTATAGAGGGTAGATGGAAGGTCTAGATACCTGGGCCAGCTCTCCAAAATAACTTGTACTAAGTTGCGTCCAGAATCAAATCGAAACCCATTCTATCGCGAAGATGCTTGCAGAGCTGCACGTGCCGTGGGCAGTGCTCTGGATCAAACCTTTGCTGATCTTGAGGGTTTAGGGTCTGGCGTTTAGGGTTTGCTGATCTTACCAAAGGGTGTGAGTAGCTTTTCATATAGACCTAGGGAAGGTCCCAGTGAGTTCCTGTAGAGGTACTACGGTATTTTGCGGCATAAGTGAACACCACAAAACCCTAAGGGTCCAAGTACCTAATAATCATAGACTTACCCAAAACCTGTACTATAATTACTATTACCGAAAACCCAAGTACCCAATTATTTGGTACATGGACCCTCTGGGAAAGTACCTGGACCCATCGAGCTTTAGTTCCTCGCACGGAAATCCTTGAGTAGTTCCCGTCGACAGTCATATACACCAAGAGACCCTAAGCCGTAAACCCTAGACAACCAAGGGGAACTACCCTTTTGGGGTGAGCCTTCCTTATACACGCGCTCAAAATCGCGTTGCAGCGTGCACACGGTTTAGAATTTCGGATTTAGGGTAGCTGTCGTATAGGGTTACGTATCCTTGAAGCTCAACACGTGTCATATTATGTGGGGGGCTACCACTAACCTTACATCCTAAACCCACAACCCTAAACCTTGAAACTCAAACCCTGAACCATAAACCTTAAACCCCAAAGCCAAGAAGCCACAGATGACTGGAGGACCCTGTTGCCAGCAGCATGACCCAAATGACGGGTGAAGCATGCCTTGGAGGGCTTGGTGTTTAAGAACTAAGGTTTAAAATTTAAAGCTTACAATTCAGGATTCAGGGTTTTGAGCTTAGTGTTTTGGATCTAGGGTGTCAGATTTAGTGTTTAGGACGTAGGCTTAGACTTTCAGGCTTTGTTATTTAAGGGCAGCATGGTACCGTATGCTGCAGCTAGGTAATTTACAGTGGATGTACTTTCTGGATCCTCCCGGGTCTGAACTTCAGGTCGAACCCTTGATGCTACGCTCTCACAACTGGCTTGCTGTTACGGAACTTTCTTTAAGTTACCACAATGGGTATATGGAAAAACTAGTCTGGTTCCCCCCTATTCAGTTAAGATTAGTCACAGCAATCCAGGCAAGGGTGGATGTCTCCGAGTTGCTACAAAATACACCTCCCCATGTGCTTCCTCAACAGCGCGAATGCCGACCCTGATATTCGAAGACAAATATATTTACTAATTCTTATTAGGGAACATGGCAAGATAATCCGCAAATAACCCCTACATAAGATATTCCCATATTCTCTCCTACAAACCAGTAAGTAAATTATATCGAATCAGAGCATTCCAACCGCATCAGCAAACCTGACAGACAAGCTCAGGACAACCTGCTCTGCGGAGCATTCTAATGCTGTTTGTGAAGGAAAACTTGCACCACTCAGGAGTGCATCGGGTTAAGGGTTTAGGCTCTAAGGATTACTCAGCCCACACTACTCTAGGAAGAGGAGAGGTACCTTTTTTGATGAATATAAGGCATCCCATACCCTAAGAAGCATAAAGAATCCCTATCATATACTATAACCCTAACATAACCCTTATATATATATATACCCCAGTATACTATAACCCTAACATGACCCCAATATAACCCTAACATAACCCTAATACATTGATCCAGTTTGGGGTTTGGGAATTCCTTGGAAGCACGGGTCTTTAGGATGGTGTCGGACTTTCTCCAGTAAGAGTACCCTGGCATTGAAGTCTCCATATAAGTACTACACGCGGTTTAGGGTTTAGGGTTGAAGTCTCCATGTAAGTACTATTTGGGGGTTTGCCAAAATTAGGGGTACCCCTTTGGGGTTCCTATAGTAAGGAGTAGAATATTTTGAGGTCTATATAGGGGCCAATTTTGGGAAACTAGCATTTATAGACGTTCGGGCCCAATGTCGGCAAAGCCCCAAGGAACGTGCCCCAAAAGAGCCCAGGTACCTAGACAGCGGGTACTTGCAACCCAGCTAAGATCCTCAAGGATTCAGCAATTGGGTACTTGGGACTTTGGTAAGAAGCATTGCAGTGCCAGTTTGGGTGAAGTATATGATTCTCAGGCAAGCGGACCCCTGCGTTGTGGTTAAAGTCTAGCGTTCAATGTTTAGGCTAGGGTTTATGGGGCTGCAGGTGCCACAGCAC